CAAAGGACATAGGATTACAGCCAAGAATCAATATAATATTCCAGAGGTCAAAGGACATAGGATTACAGCCAAGAATCACCTACCCAGCAAAACTGATTATAATCCTTCAGGGGGAAAAAATGGTCATTCAGTGAAATAGAAGACTTTCAAGCATTTTGATGAAAAGACCAGAGCTGAATAGAAAATTTGACTTTCAAATACAAGGCTCAAGAGAAACATGAAGAGGTAAACAGGAAAGAGAAATCATAAGGGATTTATTAAGGTTGAACTGTTTACATTGCCACATGGAAAGATGATATTTGTAACTCATGAGACCTTTGCCAGTATTAGGGTAGTTGGAGGGGAAAAAATTATATGTAGATAGATAGACAGATAGAGGGCACAGGGTGAGTTGAAGATGAAGTGTTGATATCTGAAGATTAAAATTAAGGGCTGAGAGAGGATTATATTGAGAGAAGAAGAAAAGGAGAGGTAGAATGGGGTAAATTATCTCACATAAAACAGACAAGAAAAGGCTTTTACAGTGGACAGGAAGTTGGGGAAGGTGAGAGGGAATGAGTGAATCTTATTCTCATCAGATTTGGTTTAAGGAGGAAATACCATACGCACTCAGTTGGGTATGGAAATCTATCTTGCCCTACAGGAAAATGGGGGGGGGGGATAAGAGGGAGAGGATGATAAAGGGGAGGACAGATTGGGGGAGGGGGTAATCAGAATCAAAAAGTGAGGAAGAACAGTGCTAAAAGGGAGAATAGAAAAAATGAGGGGCAGGATAGGATGAAGGGAAATATAGTTAGTTTTCCACAACAGGACTACTATGGAAGTGTTTTGCATGACTACACATGTATAACCTGTATCGAGTTGCTTGCCTTCTCAGTGAGGGTGTCTGGGGAGGGAGGAAGGGAGAAAATTTGAAACCCAAAGTTTTAAAAACAAATGTTAAAAATTGTTTTCACATGCAACTGGGGAATAAGATATACAGGCAATGGGGTATAGAAATCTATCCTGCCCTACAGGAAAATAGAAGGGGGATATGAGAAAGGTGGGGGGGGAGATAGAAGGGAGGGCAGATTAGGGGAACAGGTATTCAGAATGCACACTGTTTTGGGGTGAGGGGAGGGATGAGATGGAGAGAAAATTAGGAACTCAAAATCTTGTAGAAGTGAATGTTAAAAACTAAAAATTAATTAAAAAAATAAAATGAGATAAATTCATGAAAATTTACAAGCCACAATAAGCCTCTTTTACACAATTACAAACATAAAAATCTTCTGTATTTTTTTAACTTGATTGTTGAACTTGTAAATCAAAATCCATTAGCTTAGAGGGGAAAAAAAGATTTTAAATTGCATTATCCTTATTTGCAAGAAGGGCGGTGAAAACTGCAAAAGGAAGCAATCAACTCAACCCTTTTACAGAATAAACATTACACATGCCATGTTTGAATGACTGTAAATTATGACTTAGGATGGTCACATGTTATTGGTATGAACCAGTAAAGTTTTAGTGAATTTTAGAAAACTGAAACCCATATGTAGCCTTTCTTGAGTCACGTGACAAAGCAAATTGGTGTCCCACCTAAGAATGGAACTTCACTTCAAGTTCTCAGCTCCAGACCGTATTATCTATTTTGCCCTAATTCTCTCACTACTTTCACTTTACCCCAAATGGAACAGGACTTTTCAACAGGTTCCAGAGATGAGCAAGAAAACACAGCACTCTCTGTATTCCTGTTCATTAATTTATTTCTCAGGTTTTCTGATTCCATTGAACATTAATGGAAACTCTGGATCCCACTGTGCCTTCAACTATTTCTTGGAGCTTTTATTCCTGAAATGAAAGAAATAAAGTGCATCATTCATCCATAAGGTGCAACATGGGTGGGAAGTCAGGAAGAACAGATCAGGGAAATATATGACTGGAGTTTTCAATCTGCTTCTGCACAAGATGCTTCTAATTTCGAAAAGGTGTGCTCTCTCTAGCAAGGATAATAAGATCAGAATGGAACAGGGGAGAGTAAAGTGAAAGAAGGACAGAAAAATGTTTGAGAGGTACAATGTTTTTTTAAAATAAAATTATAAATGTGATATGCTCAGAGGTTGATTCATACCGTATGCGGGTTCATGGAAATGTTTATGCATCAAGTCACTTGGCAATGGTAGAAGTGCTCCTAAATTATCTGTCTCAAGAGAACACCTAATTAATTATTACTGCTTGATATCAAATCTCAAACTAACCATGGTATCCTCGATCTCTCCCTATTTCCCCTCTGCTAGACACCCTTGGATCTGGAACATATCCTATAATTGCAATCTTTTCCCCATGAAAGAAGCCCGTAGCGAGGTAAGAACCCCATCTATTGACTATACAGATCCAAGTCTGGGGAAAAAAAGAAGCTTTATTAAAAAGCATCTAGAGCAGTAGTGTAAAACTCAAACAGAAATGGGAGCCACTAAACATTATTACATAATGATCCCTATATGTCATGTATTGACTTTAAAACCACATATTCACATTATCTATATTTTATTGTATTTTTATTTATTTTGTTAAATATTTCCCAGTTACACTTTAATCTGGTTCAGCCTCATTTTGGAGGCCCCCAGCCATGTGTTTGACACCTCTGATCCAAAGGATAAGAAAGTATATATCTCTTGGAAATTAAAAGTTAATTCCTTTTTTAAGCCTATAAATACATTTTTGGCTTTGCCTCTTATCACTTTGAAATCCCCTTGCTGCACACAACCACAAAGGCAAACAGGAAGTACCTTTTTTCATATATTCTGAAAAGCTGAAAGAGCTCTAACAAAGCTCTAACATCCACTCCCCCTCCTCCCTGCAAAGCAGGTGTATCTCTCCAGTTGTTTTTCAGTTGTTCTTCATCACCCTGTTTGGGGTTTTCCTGGCAGAGGTACTGGAGTGTTTTGCCATTTCCTTCTCCAGTTTATTTTACAGATGAGGAAACTGAGGCAAACGGGGTTAAGTGACTTGCCCAGAGTCACACAGCTAATAAATGTCTGAGGCTAGATTTGAACTCAAGTGTTCCTGACTCCAGGCCCAGCATCACTCTATCCACTTCACCACCTAGCTGCCCTAAATTAATATGCATATGTATCCCTTAAAGTAGTGGATGTTAAGCCATCTTCTGTCAGGAAATTCAAAGTTCAAAAGAAAGCTTCCAAAGTGGCTACTGCTCCCCACTAAATTGTTTCTTAGACTTTAAATTGCAGATCAGCCATGAATCTGAATTGACAGAACTCTTATCCAAAGGTTTCCTTCTGAGTCAGTTTAGTATAGTGGAGAGAAGACTGGATTTGAATCTGGCTTCAGACATTTACTAACTCTGACACCCTTAGTAACTGAACCTTTTTCCTCATCTTTAAGGGTTAATATAAGAGCACCTGACAGGGCTGCTATGAGAATCAAAAAAGATAATGTATATAAAGTGCTTTTCAAAACCTTAAAGGGTCAAGAGAGACTCCTCAGCCCAGGAATTTAACAAGCAGTTTATTCCAGCTGGAGAGCTCTCCTTGGATTCAGTGGCTCCCCATCACTGATGATAGATATATTTATCATAGCCTATAGATGTTGGAACAGACTAAGTTGACTGTAATTTCACACTCCTGATTGATGATATTGAAGATGTGTAAGTAGGCGAAGTGGTACAGTGGATAAAGCCCTGGACCTGGTCAACCGCAGATACCACCCATCTTTGAGACCGTAGGCCAGGGGTGGGGAACCTGTGGCCTTCTAGGTCTTTGGGTGTGGCCTTTTGACTGAGTCCAAGTTTTACAAAACAAATCCTTTTTATTAAGAGGATTTGTTCTGTGAGATTTGGTTCCCCAACCCTGTCTCCTTCCCAGTAAAATGGAAATAATGAAATGAGATAATATACATAAGGCAAACCTTAACATACTATATAAATGCTAGCTTTTTTTTTACCTGAAATGGCTTCTTCAAATGTGAACTACTATTTCTAATCAACAACAGCACAGAGCCAGAAAAAATTAGCTGCCTTGTCATTTTTTTACTATATTTGCTCAGCCAGACTATGAACAATGAATATCCCACTAATCTTTTTGTAAAAACAAATTTCTGTTTTGTCTTTCTGTAAAGAATGTTTTATAATTGCATTCATAGTCTTGAGTGTCTTGATAGATTGATTTCTACATATCATATGCATTTTGAAATCACTCTGAATGGGATTTCACCCCAACCATCTCCTCCCGGTTTTGTTCATTGCTATACACAAAGTCTGATGATTTTTGTGGAAGGACCCCTAGACTAGCATCTTCTGTCTCCCCAGGACAAGGGTAAGGCGGCAAAGACCAGCCAGATGACGACAGCAGTGGGGAGGTAAAGGCCCACAACCATATGCAGCGGGACCTGGGAGCCAGACCCACGGGTCACCACCACCAAGGTGAAGACCAGATGGCGAGCGCCTGGCGAGCGCCAGACGAGCGGAAACCCGGATCTCCGCCAGGGGGCGTACCCACCCAGGGCAGCCTAGCCTCCTAACTCCTACAGGTGTCAATAAAGTCTTAAGCTATTGTACTGCCTCAAACTCCAATTTGTCGGCTGAAGCGGAAGTCCACACCCGGCTGCCCGCTGACAGGGATGAGGCATCCCTGCCTTCTTTGTACTAATTCTGAGCCCTCGTTGGCTATTTTGGCCTTCAATCAAGGGATAACCCCTCCCCCTCCCCCTCTTCGCCCTCCCCCCGCCTGCCTGCTTTTCTCTCACATTTATTGGTCTTTGGGCGTAGGCTCCTCCCACAGACACACACACCCCCACCACCAAATTCTGAAACAAACAGAGGCAGTAGCCGGAAGTGATGTAGCCCGCTGCGCGAAGTTTGAATTGTACGCTTAAGAGCAGCGGTTGGGGGCATGCAGTCAGTGACTCCGGGGCCGAGAGACTGAGTCCAAGCAATCCCTTCCCGGCCCGTCTCCAGCCTCCCCGGGCTCGGCTCCCTCGTCTGACCTTCTGCCTTCCCCCGGGCTGCCCCGTGCCCTCCAGACCGCAGGTCAGTCAGTCAGAGCGGCCTCCCGGGCCCTGCGCGAGCCGCTGGAGGAGGGAGGCGAGGCAGGTACGTAGGAGGGAGCTGTAGGTTCCCGGGCCCCGCGGCCTCCGATGCCTACACTCTGCCCCCGCCAGGTAGGACCATGAGACCGGGTCGCCGCAAATCCACCCCAAAGAAGCGCCCCGGGACCCCGTCTCAGCCCCGCGCCTCCACCTCCACCACGCCCCCCGCAGGTAACCTTGCCCCGACCCGACCCCCCGCCTCAGTCCCGGGCCCCCTTCCCTCCCGCTACATCGTCTTCCCTTCCCTTTCCCGTAATGACCCTTGTTTGTCCTAGGCTCTTCTCGCCGCCGCCGCTTTCCCGGTGGACTAAGCCATCGGATTCTTAGGGAGATCCGCAAGCTGCAGAAAAGCACGGACCTGCTGATCAGGAAGGCACCCTTTGGTCGACTAGTGAGCACCCCACTCCTAACCTATAGGGCTGCTTGTTTGTGAGCCTGCCCAGGACTCTGCCTACTTAACAACGTATTTTGAACTTTATCCTGAGGTTTAGGGATTTCCTCCCAAACCCTAGGACTTCCAATGGCACCTTCCCCCCTCATGGCTTTAATTTTTTTCACTTACCCCTACTGAGGTAGCCACTTAACAAATGTTTATTTTGTCAAATTACTACCCATTAAATACCTGCCCAGTGATGTATCAATCTCCCCGTTGGTATTGAAACCATCCCCAGCAACGAAGTCCAGAAAGTGGGAAAAAAGGTTCCTTTTCCTGGCCTGGCAAGAATATGTTTTAGCCTTGATCTTTTCCTTTTTGGGGTTTTTTTTTCTGCCTTCCTCAAACTACAGGTTAGAGAAATATGCCTCCGATATACTCGAGGAGTGGACTTCTATTGGCAATCTCAGGCCCTACTGGCCCTGCAGGAGGTGAGGAGAGGGGCAAAGGATGATCTAACCTTAAGTAAGGTGGAGTGGTTGTTGGGAGAAAGGATTGTCGAAAAATACTACAAGTTTCCCAAACAGCAACTGATTGGAAAATGGAATATCACAAAGAAGCTTAATTGAACTATGAGGTAGAATGCCTGAGGCTTTCACAAAGGGAAGAGACAAGGAATAAGGGGAAATAGCCGAGGGTTTGAGGGCTAGATACTGAAATATGTGGGACCCCAAAGATCTAAATGCTGCCACTCTAATACTACGGCCTCAGTGTTATCAGGTTCCATCTCTTACCCCATATTGAGCCCTTCCCCAAGATTGAGGTCCAGAAATGAAAAATGGTATTGTTCCTCATTCATTTTTCTGTGTGAGTACAGTAGAACCTATAGCTGCCTCTGCATTTCGTATGCTAAGAGTAAAAAAACTAAGAAAAATTTCCCCGATTTTTTTAGACTACTTCAATTCATCTATCTCTTTCCCTGTACCCAGGCAGCTGAAGCATTTATAACTCATTTATTTGAAGATGCCTATCTCCTCGCCATACATGCCCGGAGGGTAACCTGTATCCCAAAGATATTCAACTGGCCAGAAGGATCCGAGGTTTGCAGGAAGGACTAGGCTAAATACTTGAGGACAATGGACCTTTAAACCTAGAAGTTAAAAATTTAATTCCTTTCTATTTCTCCAACCACTTGAGTTCCCAGTCTGGAGTTGCCACTTACCATCTTCAACGCCTTGTCATCGTATCCATCTCTTGGGCACAGTTCTCTGGAGAATCGGGGATTGTTCCTTTTTACAAAATTTAAATAAAATGTTTTTAATTAAGGATTGGCCAGAATTGCCCTCTCTTTGGTGGGGGGAGAGGTGTGTGCAGGAAAAGATGAGAGCAGGAATTATCTAGAGAAATGTCCTCTGGAGTCTGTTATGAGGCAGAGAGTTCATTAAAAACATAGGGCCAAGAACTGGACCTGTGATTTTATTGTGTAGGTGAGGAAGCTCCCTCTACTGAAGCAGTGGTGCCTCTGCAGCTTTAAGAGTCGGGTTAAGTGACTTGTCCAGTATCATAAAGATCATGTGTGTTAGAAGTAGAACTTGAACCCAGGTTTTGAGGCTGGCTCTCCATACACTATAATACTCTGCCTCTCAAATTCACCTCAGGGGTGAACAATGGGAATAGGAACAGTGGGAAGAATTAGAAAAGTGGCCTTCAAGGTAGCACAGAATTTTTCTCACATTCTTCTTTTTTTTCCTCTCTTGCAAGAGGCAGTACCTGCCTGACCATCTTACCCCTTGAATAAATAACATTGCAGGACTTGTCTATTCTGAAACCTTATCTTCCTGGAGGTACTTCCACTACAAGTTGCCCTGCTTCTATCCCCAGTAGTCTGCACATATGTCTTCCCTTTCATAAATGAGATGTCTTTCCTTGACTGGTGCATGACTTTATTGTTCAAAATTAACAAGGCTAATGAAGTGGCTAATGAAAAGTAGGGAAATCTGTAAGCCTTAAAGCTCTAAGAGACACACTGGGGTGGTTGTCATTAGAAATCAGGAAGATCTGGGTTCAAATTTACCCCTGACTCAGAGTGAGTCTGTATTAGTCACTTAATCAGTACTCTAAGCAAATCTTATAAGACATAAGTTGTAGAGCTAGTGCTCATCTGGCAGAGGAAATCTCTAATCAGAACTTTTTTACACAATCAAAGCTATGATCCCCCACAAAAAGCCTTAAGTCAAAATGCAAATTGTTTTATGATTGAGCTATCTTCATCTTAATGAATAACATTTGGCATATTTGCTGTTGAGTTAAAATTTCTCCAATGTGACCAATGTATATTTTAATTCTGTATGCGTGTATTTACAATCTTAAACAACTAAGAACAGTTTTTGAGTGTAATCTGCCAAGGTGGACTAAAGATCCTAAATTCGACAGGTAACTGTTGGAGTAAGTGTAGAGAAGTATATGTCCATGAGAAGAGTCTCACTGGGAAGTCTTCTCCTATATTCAGACAGGCCTGAATTGAAGATTCTTTGGTCTTGAGAAGAAAATGAAGAACACCAAGTCTTAGGCATCAAATAAAATTGCTAAAATGTCACTCAACAAGCATTTGTTAAGCACCTACTGTATGCCAGGTACAATGACTATAATAATTTAAATGAAAAACGTTAAAAGGAAGGTGAATGCTAAGTATTTGCAAAAACCTATATTGATGCTGAAAAACTATGAAACATACCTCCTTCCTCAGCTAAGAGGTGGGGAACCAGTGGAGCAAAGTGTTATATATATTGTTAGATGCAATCACTTACTAGTTGTTTTTACTTAAGCTTTTGTTACAAGGAAAAGTTCAATTAGGGCATGGGATATGTCTAAAAGTGACTGAATTAAAACAAAAGGCATCAATACTCATAATCTTAATCATTTCAATCTGATATCCAGAACATGAAATACATATTAGAACAAGAGAATTATGGGTACTTGAATATTGATGCACTTTGCTGTGGCCCCAAAAAACCCCACACAAGGTACATTCCTAAAACACCCATAGGTACACATATGTATTTGTAGCAATTCTTTTTGTAGTGACAAAGGACTAGAAACTAGGAGGGCATCAATTAGAAAATGGCTAGAAAAATTATGTTATTTGAATATGATGGAATGTTAGTGGACCTAAGATGATATAAAAAGTAAAATTTCAGAGAAATCTAGAAGACTTGAGAACTGGTATTGAGCAGAACTAGGAAAAAACAGTTTATACAATAACAACACTATAAAGATGAATAATTTTGAAAGACTTTAGAATTCTGAGCAATGAAGGAATATGCTACCCATCTCCTGATACCTATCTCAAGATGCAGAATGAGACATACATTTTTAGACATGGCTAATGTAGGAATGTGCTTAAAGCCTTGACAATGCCTATTTGTTATCAAATTAGTTTTGTTGTTTTTCTGGGGGGAGAGGAAGAAGAAGAAAAAATAAATGCTTATTAATTGAAAATTTAAAAAAATAAAACTGTTCAAGCATATTTTAATATTTAAGTAACGTAGGAGAGGGAAGAGTCAAGGCTAATTCCAAGGTTCTGAACCTAAATAAATGGAAGAATGATGGTCCCCTAAACAGAAATAGGAAAATTTGAAGGAGCAAGTTTAATGAGGGAGATAGGATAATTTTTCTGTGTTATTAAGATAGCTAGTCACATAACTAGCTGGAACTTGCAGAACTTAGCTAACATCAAATCTAGCTCCAGTGACTAATTGGTTAGTGATAAGAGAATTTCTGGCTCAGCTTTATTACCTCTATTTACTTAAGATGAGCATTTCAGGTAACTAAGTATATCTCCTGTGTTGACGCTTAGTCTGCAAATTCCAGCTTTATCCCTAGAGAATGCCGACTAGTTTATTGTTTTACCTAACATAGATCTTTCCCTTCTGTCTTCTATCCTTCTTCCTCTACAGCGATACCCTGTATCCCTCCTGTCTTGTCATTAAAACCTATATAAGTTTGCCAAAACAGCTACTCAGGACCATTGGTGTTTGTATATCATGGATCTATGCTCAGCATTACAATATAAACTAGTTCTTGAAATGTTTCTGCATGTTGATAAATATGATTGGCAGCAGTACCTATCAGTGAATCCTTGAACAACTTTTATGTCAAAGATAAAAGAGTTCCATTTTGGGATATAAATGAATGCATGAAACTACATGTATTGAACCCTTATGAGCCAGGCCTGTGCTATGTGTTAAGGATACAAATACAAAAAAAGGTGTTCCTTTAGGGAGCCTATATTCTAATATTGGAGAACAATGTATATGGGTGAATAGTGCCTAGGAAGGGATGTTTTTATCTGGGAAGTCAAAGAGATGGTGAGTAGAGCCACAAGACAATTGATTAATTTGTTCTTTCCAGGAATGTCAGTGTTGATTTGATTAAAGCAGACAGAAGAGAGGGAACAGCATGGCACCAAGAAGGCCAGAGAGCGGCCTGGTATGTCTGGTCTGAACGGGCTATGGAGAACTCTCACTCAGAGCAGGAGCTGAAGTGCTAAGTGGGATATAGTAAATATAAGATTCCTTTAGGATATTCAGATGGAGATATCTAGCAGGCAATAACGTGAAACTAGAGTGAAAGGGAAAGAGTCAATATGTAGATTTGATTATCATCTGAGTAGAGATGATACTTGAACCTATAGGATTGAATTAGATCATCAAGATGGGGAGTGTAGAGAGAGAAGGAAAAGGTTCAGGACATTCCTGGGCTTGGGGCAGCTGAAAAGGGTTTGCTTTCCAGGCTTGGAGGATAAAGGGGAAGGAATCAAAAGGCAGACAATGGAATGCTGATCTGGGGGCACAGTGAGCTACTCCAGACACAAGCCATTCATTGCTTCCACTGTCTCACTGTCTCTTCAACTCTTTGCATTCTGGTTTCTGACCCTACAACCTAACTGAAACTACTTCCAACCACATTAGCAATGATTTCACCTGCTAAATCCAATTTCTTTTTCTTTTTCTCAGTCTTTATCCTACTTGGCCTCTTTGTAGCTTTTGACACCATTGACATCCCTTTGTCCTGGATTCTTTTTCCTTCTTTAGCTCCCTAATCGAATTCTGTCCTGGATCTCCTGGGAAGCAGAATGAAATCTTAGTGGCAAGGAGTAGAAGCATCTGCTGGGAAGGGAGGAGAGCTGCCATGGAGCAGTGAAAGATCTAGCAGACAGAGGCACTGATGGGCAGTAGTGACAGGTGACATCTGGATGTCTGCAGGATTGCTGCAGAAGATAAGCATTGTGACAAAGCAGCCATGAAAGGGAGCACTGATGGGAGCCCTGTGCAGGGTAATAATGGGTGTCCCAGAGGCTTGCGTGCAGGTCCCTGGGGAAGGAGTGCTCACTGGAGGGGTATTATTTTCTAGGAGCTCAGATGCAAGTCTCATCTTTTTCCATTAATTTTTAAATAAAACTGTTGTTTTGAACCTTTTGAGCCTGTGTGCTTCTAAGAGGTAAGTGATTACCTTTGGATAGTACCACATACTAAAATTCCTAAGTCATTTGATTGGGTGATAGACCAGGGAAGTAAGAGGTCATCAAAATGTACCTATGCCCTTTGTGTCATGAGTGAGCCTCTGACACAAGGGTTATATAAAGAAAAACTGCTTAACAATTCCAAAAATGTAATAGGTTGTCTCTATGTAGTGAGTTCTGTCACTACAAGTTTTCAGGCAGAGGCTGGATGACCACTGGGTTCAGGTGTTATAGAGGGAATTACTATTCAGGTAGAGGTTACACTAGATCACATCTGAGACTCTGAGTCTCTTGATTTCTCTTGCCTCACTCCTAGGCTTTCCCAATAAATTGAACAGAGTTTTCAATCCCACCCCTTCTAACTTAACCTCCTTTGGTTTCCAAATACCATACTCTTTACTAGAAAAGGGTAGGGGTTGTAAAGATACATTCCAATTATCCTCCATATAACAAAAATTACCCTCTTCTTGAAACAAAGTATGTCTTGAGGAGATAATAAAATATAGATGTAGCACCTAGCCCTCCTCCATACCTAGGCTCTAGAAGGCTGTTGTTGTTTGTCCTTGCTCTTGAAGAGGACCAGTGACATCAGGAGAGTGACATCTTGACTTGCAAATGAATTGGATTTAAGTGAGGCAGGGCTGTGCAAAGTCATTGGCCTCAATCTCTCCTTCAGAGTCATCTGAAAGTCAAGACAACTGGGGATGGCCCAGTTCTAGAATGCTACTTCTAGGCTGGAGGCACTCTGAGGATTATCAACCACCCAGAACTATATAGCTGAAGAATTTCTATCAATGTTTAGTTTTAACAAGTAAACCAGAAAGCATATACTAATTCAGCAGAAAAGGCATTTATTTAACAGAATAGAAAGATAGTAACAAAAAATATTCCCCCCCAAACATACAAAGTTATGTTCCCTCAAAGGTTACCAAAGTACTAGTGGAGGAATACATATATGGAGGGTATCTCACAGAAGGAACACACAAAGTCTGTGCCACTCACACGGCTAATGCTATAAAGCCTACAGATGTTTTCTAGTGATGTCATCATGTCTACTGTTGTGTGGATGTGATAAACTGCTCTCTCTGTTAGCATCTGTTGGTCCATTAAAATTGAGCCTTTTTGAGCCATCAGAAATACAGTGACTAGAAAACATCTCCTTACAAGGGAGGCATGAAGTTCTTTTAGTATGAAGCTAGCCAGGCAGCCAGCAGAAGCTGTAAATGTCTTCTGATACCTGCTAGCAATCTGACTTGGAATCAGAAAATTCCTTTTTAACTCTTGTTAAACCCCTGATCTAATCCCTGTGTCGCCTCAAACCATTTTGAGAGGTGCACCTAATGGAAGCCATCTGGTTGGTAAGCAAATTAACCTGGAGCAAGAACAAAGAGCTAGGAGATGCCTGGGCACTGGAAACCAATCTCTCACTTTACTGATGAGGAAACTGAGACCCAAAGAAGTCAAATAAGTTGCCCACAGGTCACACAAGTAACAAATGATAGGGCTGGCATTCAGAGTCGTATCACTTTAACTCCAAATCCAGGGCTAGTTACAAAGTACCTCCACCTCCCACTTCTTTCACAGGATTAAAATCAACCAATTCAATGGGTATGAAAACAAATTCATAAAATTAAAGTGCTATACAAAAATAAGGTGGTGGTGGTAGTTATCACCATTGAGGTAGTTGTCTTTGTGAAAATGCACATAATTTACAGAGATGACACAGGCCCAATCTTTGTGCAGGGTTGAGGAATTAGTGACACCAGACCTTGTCAGGATACATGTCTGAGCTGTGGCCTGCAGGCAGCTTCCAGGTACTAAGCTCTCTATACTGGTGGTGGTTTTCAGTTTTCAGCAAAAGGGACCAGAAAAAACAAGAATGTAAAAGCTGAGGGACAAATAAATGAGATTATACCATTACATGATAACATCTAGAGAAAGGATAGTAGAAAGTGACAGGTACTGGCCTATGAATAGTTAAAAAGATTCCCTGTCTTCCCCCCTCCCCTCCCACAATGATTACCACTGCTAACAGTCACCTGAGCAGGGCATCAAGTCAGATCCTGGATGGCAAAAGGGAATACCCAACATTTCTTCATACAGTAGTAATTACATCATCCAGCCTGTATTATATCACTGATGTTTGTTTAAGCATCCATGACAGTATCTGTATTTACATCTGTAAATTACATCTATATTTAAAAACACTTTAAAACATTTTGAAGGGAGACATATGGCATTTTTGGGTACTTCACTCCATGAAGATGGCAACCTAGATTATTAAATCCCTAAACTTTATTGTCTCCTTCCCCAATCTTTTTCCAAAGAAGTGGCAAGGGAGACTTGTAAGCTGTCAGGTGGGCTAGGATATGGCTAGGTACCTAAAAAGGATTTTTAGGAAAATATTGAGAAAGCTCTAAGGAGAAGACAAATAAATTGGTCTAGAACACAGGAACAGGTCTTCCTGGAAAAGCCTTGAAAATAAGAATAAGAGATGGAAAAGGGAAAGGAAAAGCAAGGTTAGGGGAAGCTATAAGTGAAACTAAAAGAGCTCAGCTCAGAGAACTGAGTAAGAAAGGGGCTGAGAACCCATAAATTAGAGAAAGGCCAATCAGGCCTATGGGCAGAGTTAGTGGGGTCAATAGTTTTGAAGCCCAGCTGTCCTAGACATAAAGGGAGAATCAAGTTCCTGCTATAATAGCATATGATAGCTAATTATAGAGGTTTTTTTTCTTTTTTGCTAGGCAATGGGGTTAAGTGACTTGTCCAGGATCACACAGCTAACATTAAGTATTTGAGGACAGATTTGAACTCAGGTCCTTCTGACTTCAGGGCTGGTGCTCTATGCACTGTGTCACCTCGCTGCCCCCTAGAGTTTTCTATTTAGGCAGTTTTCTACAAGTCTTATTTCTTAATTTAAGCCTCCCCAAAGTTGCATATTTATGAATAACTATTTTGACTGCTTTTTTGATCATGTGTTCTTTAAATGATTGATTCAGTTTTGATTCCAGCCACACAGCATTCTCACTATGGTGGTCTAGACATTTTAATGTTAATAAGTAATACAATGTTGTAATGTCATAAATATTTATCTCGGTTTTCCTAGCAGTAGCATATGCAAATATCCCTCCAACGGTGGAAAACTTCAATTTTGCCTCACTTCCTGGATGACAGAGTCAAGACCCAAAATGATTTTGACAGAGCATAATGTTGTATCAAATCTAATAAGATAAAATTTAATACAGACAAATGTTCAAACAAAGGCTGTATGACCCTTTGTTGGGTATCTTACATCAGGGATTCTTATTGGGCTTGGGTTGGACTAGAATAAAGATGGCCAATGAGATCCCTTCCAATTAGCAAATTCTGTGATTTCTTACCCATAGACTTGGGTTCAAAAAAAATTAGTTTCCTAAATCAAGATGGGGAAGGTATGTCTAGAGAGTAGTTTGTCTGAAAAAGATTTGGGGGTTTTAGTGGACTTCAAGCTGAATATTAATAATGTGATATGACAAGTCAAAAAAAGCTAATGCTACATTAAGAAAGCACAGAGTATAGGACTCAGGAGGCACCCTAGCCATTCTTAGTGTTTTGCGTTCATTTTTGGTGTCACATTTAAGAAAGCACATTAAAAAGCTGAAAGGTTATCAGGATGGTGAGAAACCTTGAAATCATGCCATACGAGCATCAGTTGAAAGAATTAGGTGTTTTTAGTTCTCTCTCTCCATATATATATATTCAATCTACATGGATTTTTTTTTCCTATTCAACTACTTCCCTTTTTAGGTGTCTTAATGTTGTTTTTACAGAAGTTTTTCATTTTCATATGACCAAAGTTACCCATTTTATCTTTTATAATTGCTCCTATCCCTTGTTAGGTCAAGAATACATCTCCAGAATAAATAAGCATTTATTAAGCTCCTACTATGTATAAAGTACTGTATTAAGTACTGGGAGATACAAAGAAAAGCGAAAGCAATCCCTGTTCTCAAGGAGCTTACAGTCTAAAGGGAAAGGCAGCATTAAAAACTATGTACAAACAAGATGTGAGACACTTTGAATGACAATGGATTTTATATTTGATCCTAATGGTGATGGGAAGCCACTGGGTTTACTAAATAGGTAAGGCAATGTGGTCAGATCTGCACTTTAGGAAGATCACTTTGACAGTTGAATGAATGGAGGATGGTCTGGAGTGAGGAGACTACCCAGTAAGCTGTTGTAATAGTCCCAATGTGAGATGATGAGGACCTGAAACAAGGTGGCAAACAGTGTCAGAGGTGAGAAGGGAGTGTATAGGAGAAATGTAAGAAGGTAAAATTGACAGGGCATACTGGATATGGGGAGAAGAGAATGAGAAGTCGATGACATGTAGGTTGTGAGACTGGGTGACTAAGAGGTAGGTGGTGCCCTCAACAGCAATAGGGAAGTTCAGAAAGTGGGAAGAAGGTTAGAGAGAAAGGATAATGGACATATTGGACAGGTTCAGTTTAAGATGTTTACTGGACATGCAGTTGCAGATGTGAGAGTCAGTATGTTAGAACTGAGGTTAGGGCTCAGTAAGTAAATCTGAGAATCATCATTTTTCTTATGGTAAGATCTTTACTATTAAGGTCACATACCCATTTAGAATTTATTGTGGAATATAGTGCAAGT